AAAAAAAAAAAAAAAAAAAAAAGAAAAGCTGTAGCATGCAAAGCCAGATAAGCACACACCTACCTAACTTATTTGAGAAGTGACAATGTAACAATAAAGAGATTTTAAGTAAGTATCTTGAGAAAGATCTTCTGTAAAAAGGTTTTAAGGAGCACACTGTGTATTATCTTCTTTTGTTGATCAGAAATTTATTTTACTAACACCCAGGTTACTGGATAACTGACTCTGGGAAAAACAAACTGCTAGGACATGCCTGGAAGCATTCAATCATTTCTTGAACAAGAGTATAATGCAAAAGTTCTCCTTAAAGCATGAACTTTAGAACTTTGCCAAAATGGTCTCTTTAGTTTCACAAAATATAAAGCAAAGAATGAACAATGGCTCCCAAAGTGTGACTGATGATTTGAAGACCTCAGAGTTGGTGGAGGTATTCTGATTAGTGTCATAAATTGGATGAATCTTCACTTCAGCAGAAGGAAATCCTACAGTTCAAAAAAATGCTGTTTTTCTCTTTTCTATTTCTGGAGAGCCTGCCCTTTGCCTGAAAAGTCTGGTTTGTTCCTGGAAGAGAGAGAGTGTGTATGGGCCCATGCACATGTGCATACCATTTTGGTCCAACATTTGCTCATAAGAGATTATAAGATTAAAGGGATAGGTGGAAGCTTGTTTTTTTCCCCCCTTTGCCTCACGCTGAAGTAAAAGACTAATAAAAATTTACTGCTCTGTGGACCATCACTTGAAATAGATGGTGAGGGGTTGACATGAGTTATTTATGATGAAACAAGGCAAACCAGGAAAAATCCTCTACTGTGATTGCTTTGTCTGAACTTCAGGGGTCAGTCCATCTTTTGTGGATTGCGGAAGGGGTTTTGCCTAACAGGATAGCTGCTGTCAGTTCAAAACTTTGAATACAGAGAAGGAGGATGTCTTCCCTTCTAGCCCAAGGCCTGCCTCCTTTGCCACCCCAGGATCACAGTCATTGGAGCTCTATGGTAAGGAGACATCTGGAGATTCCTCAGGAGAGGGCTCCCATTAATCCCTACCCCTGGAAGGCCTGTCAGCCATTACACTGTGAGCTCCTTAGCCACATTGGAAACCAATGTGGGACAATCTTTGTTATATTACTGCTATCCCTAAGCCTTCAGAAGTGCATTAGGAGACACTAATTACTTTTCATTCTTTGGGAAATTAAGGGAGAATCTTTGGGGAAGAAGTAGTAAAAGCAATGGGGGCACCCTGGAGAAGCCGGTTAAGAGAATGCAAGGGGTGGGGAGCAGACCTCCATGGCAGCAGTGTGGCAAAGATGGCTGCTCATAAGAGATCACAAAATCGTGCTTCATGGGTTCCTAGGGAAATGCAGACTTCTGACAACAGCTTTTAGAGAATCACACGCTTTCTTAGTAGAGTTCAATGGCTTTAACAAAATGAAGTGCTACGGGAAACACTGGGAGTTACACCGTAGCTATGCTCTTCTCCATTTTGCTGTGGAGACCAGGAGTGCTGACAATACCTCTTTTTAAGCAGGTCATGTCACCGATAAAAGTTATTCCTGAATTGCGTTTTTGGAATACCAGTTCTGTTAGTGTATTAATAGGTGTTATATACAAGATTCCAAAGTTAGATAAATTTGGGAAATATTGGGAGAAGTAAAGTTAAATAAGTTTATCACAGGATTTCTTAGAGCCTTTATGTACAAATGTGATTTGTAAAGTTTTAAGATCTAAAAATTCAGCTTTTTCCAAAATGTATTTGACTTTGGAATTTTATTTTGTTGAGTACATAGGCAGGGCTAATGCTCTTAAACATACACTTTGAAAATAATAACTAGCATAATCTCTTAAAATACCAATACATATATTTTTAATGTTTATCTTTTGAGAGACAGAGACAGAGCATGAGCGGGGGGAAGGGAAAGACAGAGAGGGAGACACAGAATCTGAAGCAGGCTCCAGGCTGTTAGCTGTCAGCACAGAGCCCGACGTGGGGCTCGAACTCGAGAACTGTGAGATCATGACCTGAGCCGAAGTCGGACGCTTAACTGACTGAGCTACCAAGGGCCACTAAAATACCAATATTTAAAAACACAAGACCACCAAACTGTTTTCTTTGAAAGTGATTGAGCCACAGCTCCTTTTTACTTTTTCTGGAAGCTCCAATTTTATGTCCCTAGGTTGAACTGTGTGATTGTTTCATTTAAATATCTTGTAAATAAGTAAAATCAACCAACCTGGTGTTAGGTTCATAAGATATTAGCAAAATACATAAGACAGCAGTCCATTTAAACATTAGGCAACTTTATTTTCTTCATCTTTGTTTTAAAGCCAGTACTACTACGAACCAGTTAATTAAAAACAAACAAAAACAACTAACCTTTAAGAAGAAACTTGTCATCTTAAATAAAGGAACAAAGTGTACAGATCTGTGAAACGAGCATTACTCAAGTATGTGGAATTGAGTACACTTAAGGTTCTTGTTCTGTTTTTTAAATAGGACCATTGCCTTCACTCCATGCCCAAATCACATTCACTCTTAATTCTGGCATGCACCTTCATTCTTCCTTTGTACCTCCTCACTCATACCCAGGAGCAGTCTTTCCTACAAATCCTCTTCCTTCCTTTAACGCTACCTCTACCCTCTCTTACAGGCCTCTGACTCCTGTAGCCCTTTAGCACCAAATAACAAGAATCCTACTACTCTGCTACTCTGTTGCCCGATCTTGACAGCAGCTTCCAAGACACCTACAAACTAGGAGTAAGAGAAAAGTAGTTGGATTAACTTTTGAGATTCTTACATTTTATATCTCTCTTCTCAAACCGACTTCTTTTCTTAGTGCCTCCAAGGTAAGGATGGGTTCAGTTAACAGCTGGGTTTTAATTCAGCCCTGAATAAAAAAGCTCAGGAGAGTCTTTCATTAACTTTGTAAGAAACATGGGAACTTCAGTAACCTGGATTTATGCACTAGACTTATTTCCCCAGTGTAGGCCTGGACTATCAATATCTTTAAATCCCAAATTGCTTGTTTATAAAACAAAATAGCCTTAAAACTGCCCATGTAAAGATTTACTACATGACATTAACACATATTTGACTACAGGAATTCCTGCCCCAAGAAGATCTCCCATTCACATACAGTGTCCTGGCATGCCATGTATTTTATGACAAGAATATTTGATGTTACAGAGGTGAAGACAGGTCATTAAAAGAAATCTCCATTTAAGTTGTAAGTTAAATCACAACTTCATATAAACTTAAATGACAAAAGGAACTTTGCAGCTATGATGTTTAGCTTTCCCAAATTAAACATTTTGGGAAGAGGACATTACCAGGATTATCTAGGTGGGCCCTATGTAATCACAAGGATCTTTGGAAGAAGGAGGCAGGAGAATCAGATTTGAAGATGCCATGCTACTGGCTTTGAAGAGGAAGGGGCCACGAGCCAAGGAATGCAGGCAGCTTCTAGAAGCTGGAAAAGGCAAGGAACTGGATTTTCCCTTAGGTCTTCCAGAAGGAACCATCCCTGCTTATAGCCAATGAGACTAAATTTGGACTTCTGAGCTCAAGAAATGTTGAGAATAAACTGGTGTTGCTTTAAACTAGTGTTTAAATTTGTGGTAATCTGTAACATCAGTAACAGAAATACAATAAATTATACCTCAACAAGCCTAACTTTAAAGAAAAAAGATAATGGAATATATTTAGTATAACAGTGAATAAAAGTGTGGTTTGACTAAACCAACAGTCCAGGGTCAGAAACACAACTGTAACATTGTAATGTATCTCAGATATCTTCATTTACTTCTTTGTGGTATGTTATCCAATAGTACCTCTTAGAAACTATCACAGATTAAAGTATATAACTTATATAAACACTTAGCTCATCCCTAGCACTTCATACACTTTAAATAAATGGTAGCTATTATTTTATACAGAGTATCATGGGAAATTTTTATCTTAGAATATGTGACACAAATACAATATTATCGATTTCTTCAGTATCTGCCAAGCACTACTAAGTAGCTATAATCTGACCCAATATAGAAAAACAATTATTTGGATTCCTTCCTTATTTATATATTGTTTGTATGTGACAGTTATCTGTAAGAATAGTCCCAGGTTACTGCTTTTAACTACTGGATTATAAGAAGTATTAGTCTGAGCTATGTCACATCCTTTACGTAGTCTGTGACTAAATTATCCTGCAAAACAGCTTCTGAATCTAAATCTGTATTTGTATATAAGGAACATCCATCCAACCTGTTTTTCTGGCCCTTTTTGGGGATCTATGTAAGGAACTGGTTCATTCAATGTTCTTGCATTTGTATGAATGAATTTTGCATAATATACACGTCCTCTCCCGACACATGGTTTTGAACGTTGTACACTTTTCCCGGGTTTTTCATCATATTTGATTTCTTCTTTTTTTTCAGTTACATACTCTATACCAGCATCCTCTATTTTTTTATGCTGTCTGAAAAAACAGAATTAAATAGTAAATAATTTACCCCAGTGAGCATTTCCATACTGTGTCGTAACTGTATAAAATAAAATTTAAATATATTTTGAGTATCAGTCAAGACAATTTAGGTTTTATTAATAGTTATAAGGGAGTATTAAAATATGGACGGGTATCTTTTCATTTCAGTTCATGTGAGAGATAAAGGGATTTGTGTTATTAATGATTATTCATAACAATATACCAGTGCAGGATACAGACTTGGATTTGCTTGGAGTAAAGAATGAATAGTGATTTGATAACGTTACAGATCATGTTTGCAGTTTCATTCATGTAGCTAAGTTACATGCTAATCTTAATTCATCTTCTTTAAAAGTTACTTAGTAAAAATCAGTTACCCAGACAAGGACAGCTATTTAACTTTAAAAGTTCACTTGGCAAACCTATAAAAGCTACAAATGACCACTATAATTTATCTTTTCAGGAAAAGAGCACTGTATAGAGATCAGATCAGTTAATTCAATCTCATCACTTTTTGCTTTTAATAACTACACTGGTACCAAAAAAATGAACGTTATTGAATTTTTAAATGTTAAAAAATGTTTAGAAAGAATTTATAGAATTTTTCTCCTTTGAAATAAAGAGTGATAGACATTATAAAAGGCAGTAATTTAAAATCTCACATACTGGGAAAATAAATGGTAAGATGAAACAGATGAATGTGAATACTTTTTTACATAAAAGCATTTAAAATCAAAGCCCTGACCCATGGAAGATGAATAAATAGGATTCCAAACTTATAGAGAAAGTCAGTAATTCTGCTTAGTCTTGGCCCTTAAAATATAACCTCTACCTTAACTTCAAACCAAGGCTGGGTCCATCTTTTCAATTAAAATCCCCAGATGAAGAGGCATTTGGGTGGCTCAGTTGGTTGAACCTCGGACTCTTGATTTCAGCTCAGGTTATGACCTCCCAGTTGGTGGGACTGAGCCCCGTGTGGGGCTGCATGCTGACAGTGCAGAGCCTGCTTGGGATTCTCTCTCTCTGTCTCTCTCTCTCTCTCAAAAATAAACTAAAAAACAAAAACAAAACACCAAATAGCTTTGCATTGCATTTACAGTGAATATTACTTCCTTATCATAGCTCTGAGGCCATGTGACCCAGCTCCAACTAATTTCTTCAAAGGCACTCAGACCTCTCTCCCCTCCCTTCTCTAGACAGCCCGCCTACTTTCAGTTCTTGGAAGCACAAGATTTCCCCCCTCAGGGCATTTGCACACACTCTCCCCTCTGCCTGGGCAGCTCTTTCCCAGCTCCCTGCAGGACTGGTCCATTATCAATCAGGTCTCAGCTTATGAGCCATCTCCTCAGAAGATTTTCCTAGATTTCCTGCTTCCTGCCCTATGTAGTCTCTATTTTAGTACTTTCTTTCATAACACAATTTATAATTTATGTACCTAGATTTTTGTTTGTGGTAAGCACTATAAATATCCTTTACTAGTCAGTAAGCTCCATGAAGGTGAAAAGACTGTTTCATTCATCATTACATAGCCACCTGGGGAAGCATCCTGTTCATCACAGGTAAATGAACTGCCATGATAATATTTGCATATTTTTGGTGCATCTGTATTTTGTTTTATTTTTGATGTTTATTTATTTATTTATTTATTTTGAGAGAGAAAGAAGGAGATAGAATTCCAAGCGGGCTCAGAGCCTGACTCGGCTTGATTCTAGGAACCAAGTGATCATGACCTGAGCCAAAACCAAGAATCTGATGCTTAACCGAATGAGCCACCCAGGCGCCCCAACTGGAATTGTTTTTCAGTCTGGCTGAGTGTAGCTGTATACTCCCAACCCCCACTCCAATACACATACAAACAATATTCAGCACCCTTGGATTCTAGTTCCCTGAATCCCAATAAAAATTGCCCTCTTTAAAAGGGTCTGGAAAAACTGATTACTGGTAAAGTGTAAATAATTTATAAGGCTTTTTCTATTACCTTTCCAGAGACAGAAGTATTTGTTTAAAGGTCATGATTGATTTATTATAGACTTCTGACGTCAGTTTTTTCTATCTGCTTCTCATGGTTGTAACTCAGCAGTACACTTGTATTGCCATCAGGTCCTTGAACAAGGACTGTGGCTACACGCTTACATATGTATGCATTCGTTCAATTAAAGTATTTGTGATGTGAGTAGCTATAGATTAACACATAAACATGAACTATATGATTTTGTAGTAATTTCTTACCAGAAGGAAACACAAAAACACTAATGGGCAGTGAAGAAAGTCAGACCTGGGTTGGAATCCCAACTCTGCCATTTACTATCTGAGCTTTGGTTTCCTCATTTGCATGGTAAGGGCAAGAATACCTATTATGAGAGATGTGACAATAACGTTGAGTAAGTCATTCTTTCAACAGGTATTTATTGACTTATGTGCTGTTCACAGCACTGAGGATAAAGGAATGACAAAACTAAACTTCCTGCCCTCACAGAGCTTACATTCTAGTGAGGGAAGGCAGATGAGAAAGCAAATAAGTAAAACATACAGTCTTTTAGGTGGCATTAAGTGCTAAGGACACCAATAAAGCAGGGAAAAGGAGTGTATGTATGTGGGAGAGAGCTTGCATTTTTAGACAGGGTGGAGGCTGCATTATGAAGGTGGCAACTGAAAAAAGGAAAGAGGGGAACAAGCTAAGAGGATATTTGAGGAAGACCATTCTAGCAGAGTGAACTGTAATTGCCAAAATACTGCAGCAGAAGCACCTGTCCTTCTCGAAGGTGGTGCTTTTCGAAGTGTGGTCTCAGGAGTAGCTGCATTGACATAAATTGTTACCTTGTTAGAAGTACAAATTCACTGGCCCCATCCCAACCTGAGGCAGGTTTCCTGGGAAACTGTTTTAACCAGCTCTCCAGGAGATTCTTATATAGGTTAAAGTTTGGGAACCATTGTTTAGTGACGAACATAGAGCAAATACTCCTGGCTCCATGTCATATTAAGTGTAACACCTTGGTCAATAGTTTTCAGAATCTAGGGTACATCAGAATCACCTGGAGGTCTTGTTAAAATCCAGATTGTTGTGCTCAACCCCAAATTTCAGATTCAGTAAGTCTGTGGTGGGGAGCCTGCAAGGATATACTTTAAAAAATTTTTTGAAATGTTTTTATTTATTTTTGAGACAGAGAGAGCATGAGCAGGAGAGGGGCAGAGAGAGAGGGAGACACAGAATCCGAAGCAGGCTCCAGGCTCTGAGCTGTCAGCACACAGCCCAATGTGGGGCTCGAATTCACGGATGGTTGAGATCATGACCTGAGCCGAAGTCAGACGCTGAACGACTGAGCCACCCAGGTGCCCCTAGGATATGCATTTCTAATCGCTTCTCAGTTGATGCTGATGTGGAGGGCCACACTTGAGAATCACTGCAGATGATAGCATGGAGGCCTATGTGCTGGAGCAGACTGGAGTCAGAGGATAAGCAGCAGAGAAGACCAAATAAAGGAAGAGGGGCAGTTGTGCAGGTCCCATAGGCTACAGCAGAGGCCTTAGCTTTCACTCTGCAATGGCCAATGGAGAAGAGTGATCTAACTTGCGTTGTAAAAAAGACCAGATTACTGTGTTGAGGACGCTGCAGAGGCAAGGAGAGCAGCAGAGACATTACAACATCCCGGTAAGAGATGCTAGCAGTAGCTGGGCCAGGGTGGGGATGATAGTGGAGGTGGTAGATTCTGGATATATCTTAAAGATAAAGCCTACAGGATTTGCTAATAATTTAGTTGTGGGGTATGAGAAGGAGTGGATGATTCGACAGGACTTGAAGAATTTTAGGCTAGGTAATGCATGTAAGGTGCCTGACACACAGTGGGTGCCCAGTAAACAGTGTGTTTTAAAAAGTATCACTGTCAGCGCTCAACTACTAGAAAGGAGAGGTAGGATGCAAGAGGAAAAGCTTTGATGGCCTGAGAACCACCCCCCACCCCCTTCGGGTCTCACTTCACCGTCCCCTAAGGAGGGAAATATTTTTTGTAAGGGGAAATAGAAAACCAAACCCCAGCACTTACTGCCGCTTATCCTCCTTTCCCTCCATGGGCTCCCACGGCCTGACACGAGGCAGCGAGGAGCCTCACGCGAAGATCAGGCACTAAGCCCTGCTAGGAAAGAGGTGCGTGGAGAGCCGCGACTGTGACTCCCGCGTTGCTAAGCGACGGCGGCCTCCAGGCTCTAGGCCTCCGAAAGCGGCGTGGGGGCGGAGCCGGAGCGCGCAGGCGCAGTAACCCGGCTCGGCTCCGCAAACTAGCGGGTGCGACTGCTTGGCGCGATGGGGGCTGCTGGCCGGATCTCTGGGCGGGCTTTCCGGACACGCCCCAGGCTGGACGTTTTGTATTTGAACTTGGTCTTTGCTATCGGGCCTAGCAGGGTATTTAGTAAGGCCCACCCTGTCCTTGGGGATCAGGAAGGGCGGTTCCCAGAGCCTCCCCGTGGCCCTTGGCTCTGGTGCCGGAGACTGCACCGCCTGCGTCCCCGCCGAGCCCCGCAGGAGGCCTCCCCGGCGTTGCCCACGTCTGCCGGAGCTGGCTCCAAAAGTGCACGCAGGCAGGGGAGAAACTTGTTTACGTGAACCGTTAAATACTGTGCAAGTCATGATTCGCTGTTGTGGGCTGACTAGTCTTTGCTTGAGAAAGCTTGGCTGTCGCTTTTCTCCGTGATTTCTGGCAAATCTTCCTTCGCCGACCCGGCAGCAAGCATTAAAATAGAGCAAGGGAACACTCATCTCCTGCAAATGAGGCTCCCCGCGGTGTGTGCATCTGCTCCAGCCTGAGTGGGGTTCAGAATCAGGCGGAGGGGGCTGTAGGCTATGGCAGCAGGTTGGATTAGGGATGAGTAGCACTTATCCAAAAAGAGCAAGTTCCTGGGAAGAGCAGTTGATGACTTGGGTCCACCTTCTGGCCCCGGATTTTCTTACCTCATTTCACCATTGCTTCCCAGTTTCCACTACCAGAGCCAAAAGTCTTTGGCATCAGTCATGGTAACTCTTGCATTTGCCTGGATAATGGGAAAAGAAGAAGCTTTATTCAGTTGAATTCGGCTGTATAACCAGGGTATGCATACGCGTATATTTTGTAATCCAGAGCCAGTATTAGTGAGTATGTATTTAGTTTACGTTTACCTGGAGTAATGTAGAGAGAGCCGAGTTTGGTTCCTGGACTCATTTGTACATATGTGAGCTTAAGTCCTTCCTATGAGGAAGAATATATGAATAGAAGTTTGATAGCTAGTTATGTACCCACCTAAGATGGTAACAATAGTGAAGTGTGTAAATACGGGTATGTGTGTTTGGGAAGTAAGAACTGGTGGGTAAATAAATATGAGGAGAGTGGGTTGAAAACCCAAAAGTGGGGTAGCTAACATTAACTGAGCTCCTGCTTGGGAGCCAGGCATTTGTTGGGCACTGTATTAAACACCACATACTTATGTGGTTTTATCCTAACCATCAAACTCTGGGAGCATAGGCCTTAGTTCAGTGTTTGAATCCTATTCCACCAGTTTGGTAGCTGTTTCAGTTGGGCAAATGACCTAATCTCTCTGAGCCTCAATTCTCTTGCCCACAAAATGAAAATATTCTTAAGGTTGTTCTGAGGTGTGGATGATTCAATACAGGCAGAGTACTGACAGGAGGACCAGGCTCCCAGTCAATCCTTGGTCATTATTAGCTAGGGTTTTGATTGAGCAATTTGATGTGAATATGCTACCACATGTCTTAAAAACTCAGTCAACTCTCTCATCATTCCCTCTAATTTTTATTCCTTTTCTTCAAGCTCCTAAAACCACCCACTTTTGAGTGAGTTGGACAATCCCAACTGCTTGCTGTGAAGAAATGAGGAATTTCTCAACTTGTCCCTTTCAAAACAACAAATTCACCTGCATCCATACAAGCTGACAGTTGTTGGGTTCTATTTTGAGTTGTGTAGTATGAGTCTAAAATCTAAATATATTTATGTCAATCTCTTTCCATTAAGCAGTTCATATATGTGTAGATTTATTGAGGGATATAAGAAGCATTTTTCAAAGATAATTGTGCTTACCACAGAGAAGTCACAATCTAGTTAGGAACACAGGACATACATACTGGAAAAATTGTGAACAGCAATGATACATGATAGTATGGAACTGGTAGTCACAAGTCTCAAATTTCAGTACTGAGGATAACACAGTATTATAAAAATGCGCCAGTAATTTTTTTTTAAAGTGCTAATTACTTACTGGCACATCTTTTGCAGGGCACTGCAAAATAATGTGGATTTTATAATAATTATTGTCTTTTTAATGTAGAAAAAGCACTGGGCTACTAGTTTTTTCTCCTAGTAACTAGCTATTCTGACCCAGGAGAAACACTTAAACCTGCCTGCTGTAGATTCTTACTTGTAAAACAGAGGTAGTCAGATTAGATAATCTTTATGATCACCTCCAGCTATAAAATGCAGTGATTCTTCTGGGAAATTTATGTCTGAAAATCAATGAACACACTAGCTTCAGTAATACATGTAATTTTCTCACTTATGTTAGGTAGTTTGGATTCTTGTCAGCGAAGTAATTCAAAGTGGCTTACTAATATTGTGCAAGTTAAAAATACCAGTGCTATTTGAGCTAGAACACCATATGTGAGGAAACACAATAGGATAGAAATTGCTCATCCAAAATGTTATAGATGCAGAAAATTGTCAACACCTTTTTTCGAACCCTAGGAGAATGACAAAAATAATGAAGGTACAGTTGTATAACCTGATAGGAAAGGAGGGTCCACCTTCCTCTCATTTCATCCTTCAGTGATGGGATACCGGTGAGGATCTCAGAATATGGCATAAAACCATATCCGCCTCTACTTTTAGTTTTTTTAAAGATAGTTTATTTGCCTCATATATATGTATTGTAAAGATTAAATGAGAAAATAACACACAGAATTTACCCTGGAACATAGTAAGCACCCATTATGAGTTGGCTGTTAGTATTCTCCCTATTTTTATAATTAGTAGGTTAGAGGTTTCATCAAGTACATGCATCATGATTATCTTGACTTCATTACCTTAGACTAAGAATTTTATCATACCAAAATATACATTAATTTGGGGTAATGGAAGTGAGAAATGTTAATGTTAGGTTTGTGTATCTTTGAAAATGAATAGATTCAAATGACTTACAGATAGGAAAGGAACGCTGAGTTTTCCTCTGGTCTGAATTCAAAACTAATTGATTTATATTGTACTTTTGAGAGAGAGCTTATAAAACAACCATGAGATGTTACATGTGTTGAAAGCTAAAAGTCTCTAGTATAAATCATATAGAACACTCTGATATAAGTGATCCTGGGTATATGCATGAATATGTTTATATACATAGAATGTGTACATAAAAATATCTCTTGAAATAACAAAAACAATTAGATAGCCGGGTTACTCCAAAATCATTGTTAGAAATCATGAGTTTGGAAATCTACCTGATTGAAGGAAGAAACCTATATTTTATGAATGTGGAGCGTTCCAGTCACCTCTATAATTTCATAATTCAAGGCTTATTTTGAAATAACCCACCTATGGTATCTTTTATAGAAGCTGTACAACCAAAGAGTGAGTAAAGAGCTGGTCCCAGGCAGCCTTTAGTAAAGGGTGGTGTTGATGCTAGAGTGATGTCCTCAGTAGAGTGCTCAGGTAGTAAAGATTGGTTGAAAGAATAGCTATGGACATAGGGACCTGGGTGGCTCCCTATGTCAGATGAATGTCCGACTTGGTTTCAGCTCAGATCATGGTCTCACGGCTTCGTGTGTTCATGCCCCATGTTGGGATTCTCTCCCTCCCTCCCTCTCTAGCTGCCCTCCCCCCACTCTTGTTGTCTCTCTCTCAAAATAAATAAACGTTAAAAATTAAAAAAAAAAATAGCTATAGACACATTATGTCCTGAGAAAGCAAAGCAAAATGAAACCTGGTTGAGGTGTTACTATTCTCAAAAAGTTAGGAATCCCTAGTCTAAGCTGTCTAGTTTTGATGGTTTTCTGTGTCCTAGCTTATTTTGGGGGCAACTGTCCTTGTGCTCTATGAAGAATTCCAGAGATGCAATCACCTTCCTTGCAAGTCATTATTACATTTTATTATCTAGTTACTGAGCAATTCAACATATATTTCACACCTTGCATGTTCTGGCCTGTTCTGACTGGACCATGAGATTTTAGTTTAGAAAAGTACCTTGCAAATAACAGGTTCTATCAATGAAATTGATGCAGAAAAATCTTCCTTGTATCCTACAAAATACATTGTATGACTTTGAACTTTTCAGTGTTTTTTATGGACATAGTAATTGTTCAACAAACTCCTTAGAGAATCGCCAGCTTTTAAAAATGGTAATTAAAACTAACTTGTAAGCCAAGAAACTTAAGTTCTTCAATTTCTTTCTGCCCAATAAAATCTACCTTTGATCCCTTCAATGATACAAATTACTATTCTCTATACTTAGTAGAGGAGAACTAATCCCTATTAAAATTCAGGGCAGAGTTTAAGTCCCAGCTCTGTATTTTTTTTTAAGTTTATTTATTTATTTGAGAGAGATGGAAACTGCGAGAGTGGGGTAGGAACCTAGAGAGATAGGGAGAAACAGAGAATCCCAAGTAGGCTCCATGTTGCCAGCACAGAGCCCAATGTGGGGCTCAAACTCATGAAACAGTGAGATCATGACCTGAGCCGAAACCAAGAGTAGGACACGTAACCAACTGAGCCACCCCGATGTCCCATGTCCTAACTCTGTTTTTAAAGCTCTGTGATTCTGGGTAAGTTATTTAAATCCCTTGAGCTTTAGATTTGGACTATGTCTCTTATTAATCTTTAAAAAAATAAATGAATAAGACACCAAAAGATTAGGGATAAAAGAACTTACCTTGTAGGGCTATTATACTAAAGTGTAGAGCTTGCACAAAGTAGGCACCCAATATGTATTGTTTCCTACCACCCTCCCCTGGGCTTACCTATGGTGGAAGCTCCCCGCCCCCCCCCCCCCCCCCCCCCCCCCCCCACCGTGGGAAAGTGACACAGCAAGGATTTGTTT